ACTCATGTTGTGCAGCTAAACACAAATAAAAACTCACAGAAAGTGATTTAAGATTTGAGTCAAAATCCCAAAGTTTCCAAAGATGCCAAATATGTCAGGATGGATTTAGGGAAAAAGTAAACAAACAACATCTAGTCGTAAAATCAAAGTAATCAATTTAAACTATTCACTCAGTATAAGGAATATATAGCTTCATAACAATGTTAGAAAAAGCAAATACTGAATATAATTGTTATTGACTGACAGTTGACAGATCAATTATTTATTCACTGTATGTAATTATTATATTTTATTTAAAATCATTGAAAAGACAAGATAAAAATCAAGAGTTGAAGAGCTGTGGGTGGTGATGTCGCAATGGATGAAGATACATGCCTTTGGTGTGAGAGACCCGTTTTTTTATCCACTGTGATGTGTCCCTGAGCAAGACACTTAACCCCTAGTGTAAGTTTCATTATCCAGAGCAGATTTTTCTTGTTGTATTAAGGTTTTAAATATGTAGCAGCTCAACATTGCTCTGCCAAGAAGAGAATAGGCTTTAGCATTAAAATACTCAGTGTGGATCAGTTTAATATCAACCACAACTTTCACATCATATTTACAGTATCTCAGCACAGAAGTAAACACTGGTTTCTGACCTCAGAGTCTCCAGTCTACAGTGTGGACTCTCCAGAAAATCACACAGCAGCTTCACTCCTGAATCCTGCAGCTTGTTTCCACCTAGCCATAGCTCTCTCAGATGGGAGGGGTTGGACTTCAGAGCTGAGGCCAGAGAAGCACAGCTGATCTCTGACAAACTGCAGCGCCACAATCTGAATACAGAATAAATGCTGCAGATAAAAATCCATTTATAATCCAATAAATTGTGTTCAGGTTTAAATGAGTAGAGTGACTTTGTTATTGTGTAATTGTGGATCATCATAATGTCAGCCTTCTACAGACATCATCCAAATGTCAGCACAACTTTCATATACCTATTTATGTCAACACAGAATGAAAACATGCTGCTGATCTCAGGCCAGTCTTATTAGAGGAAAGAAAACCTTTATTTATCCTTTAAATAGCTGCATTTGGAAATATTCTTGTTGTTAGTTTTTTGTTGTTGTTCCTCTGTGTGTGTGTTGGTGTGTTTGTTTATTTATTTATTTAAAAGGGACAGCGCATATTATGAACATTTTAGTGTAAATATGTCAGATGTAGCCAAAAGGCTATTTTTTTATTATATATAGTCCCTGGCAGATCACTACATTGCAAAGATCAATTTCAAAGAAGTACAACAAACAATAGAAAGAATAATACAATACACCCACCACAATAAAATCACATATGAATGTGTACTGTAAAGTGCAAGTAAATCTGTTGTAAAGTACAAGTTATTAAGATGTGGCAAAATGCAAGGGATGCAGAGGGGTACAGCATTTATTCAAATGATCTATTAATTATTTTGCCATCCATTTTACAATAATTTTAGATATATTTGGAATAATACTTAATAGATAATAATAATAATTGTGTATGGGTTTTGTTTGGAAGGATCACTATCAAAGATCAGACATTTGTAAAGACACATTGAAGTTAAAAGGAATCGAATAAATATTTCTGCATCAGCAAGTAAACTGATCAATTTAAAACAATATTATTAGTTCAGAGGATCTTCAGATGTGACCATTTACCAAAAATTATAAACGTTCAATTACTTTAACAAATACCAGCAGACATATTCTACAGCTTCTGTAGTCTTTTGACTTGCATGGAAATATAAACAAAAGGACATTTACAACTTGTAAGTTGTATGAACGTGAATTAATTTAATATATAAAATCTATAAAAGTAGCAGAAAGTCAGTGAACTGACCCCAAAGTCTCCAGTCTACAGTGTGGACTCTCCAGAAAACAACAGAGTAGCTTCACTCCTGAATCCTGCAGCTTGTTGTTACCCAGTTTCAGCTCTCTCAGATGGGAGGGGTTTGACTTCAGGGCTGAGGCCAGAGAAGCACAGCTGATCTCTGACAAACTGCAGCGCCTCAACCTGAATAAAGAATGAATTATGTAACTTAAGAAGTCAATGTTCCAGCTTGAAATCATTCGGAGTTTAATAATCTGTTCAGAGCTGAAGAAGGTTTACAATGTGGAAGTGCAGAAAACAAAAATGCTTGTCTCATGTTATGTGTGTTATTGCTGCTCTCAGAGTGTTAATAAACCCACTTACTGTTTAAAACCAGCCTGTGCTCCCCAGAAAAGCACATTGTCATGCCCAGCTCCCGCAGTTAGGTTGTGTGTTCAGTCCTTTGTCTGCAACAACTTCCTGTTCTGTTGGAATTTATCATCTTATCTCTTTTCAGGTCTTCGTCTGCATTCCTGCCCTGTGTGATTACCTGTCCACGTCCTAATGTGCTCCACCAATTCCTCGTTGTCTCCCCTGTCCGATTACCCCTTTGTATCTGTGCCAGTTCGTCTTGATCCCCTGTGTCAGTGTCCTGTGAAGATTCTCAGTCATCCAGGTCATAGTTATCCAAAGAAGGTTAAAGTCAAGGGCAAATGGACTTGGTTAAAGATACTAGAAGACATTCCGTCCCTCATCCAAAGGACTTCTTCAGTTCTGACTGACTGGTAGGAAACTAAGCTATTTAACCTCAGTGGGGTCTTTGCCAGGATCGTCGATACCGCTGGTTCGTTAATGTTCCTGGCTGTTGTAACGACTGTTATGGTATACATAACTGTTTTTATGGTAGTTAGGAATACCTGAGGTCAAGACTGAACGACCATCATTGGCATCCTCATCTGAGGCCAATAGGTTACATTTGTTGAGTTTCCTGGGAAATGATGAAAGGACAGCATTGTAAGTGGGGAATAAGTGGTGGCGTAGACCCCCTCCCCTGTTCAGCGATGGCTTCTCAACCCTGGTGTAGATGGCTTCCTTGACACCTCTTTCACACCATCCATCTTCTCTGTCTAAAATATGCACCTGGTGGTCCTCAAATGAGTGTCCTCTGTCCTTCAGATGTAAGTAGACAGCAGAGTCTTGACCTGAGGAGTCGGCCCTTCTGTGTTGAGCCATCCGTTTGTGTAGTGGTTGTTTAGTTTCCCCAATATACAGGTCTGTGCATTCCTCACTGCATTGGACCGCATACACTAGATTGCTTTTGTGCGGTCTTTGGGGTGTACCAGCATCTGTCTTAGCGTGTTCTTGGGTTTAAACACAGGGATGTTGTGTTTGTTGAAAATCCTCCTGAGTTTCTCTGATACTCCAGACACATATGGAATCACAATGTTGTTGCGTTTGATCTTCTTTTCCTCCTCCCCTGTAGTTTTGTTCTTCCTGGATTTTGTGGCTGTTTTTACAAAGGTCCATTTAGGGTATCCACAGGCTGTAAGTGCCCCCTTCAGGTGTTTTTGTTCCTTCTCTCTGGCTTGGGCGCTTGTTGGTATGTTTTCCGCTCTGTGGTGCAGTGTTCTCATGACCCCTAGCTTGTGCTCCAGTGGGTGGTGGGAATCGAAGAGTAAGTATTGGTCTGTGTGTGTGGGTTTTCTGTAAACACCAATTTGCAGGCTCCTGTCCCTTTTCAATGTGTACAGCGCAATCCAAGAACCAAACTGTTGTTGTGGACCTCTTCTTGTGTGAAATTGATGTTGCTGTCCACAGGCGTCGTCCACATATCTGTACCAGAGCCTCGCTGCTGTTCTTTCTGAAAGGAGGCTTTGGTCTCCACTTCTTCCATGTACATGTTCACCACATATATATACCGGTGAGCCCATGGCACAGCCATGCTTCTGTCTGTAGAATCCACCGTTGTACTGGAAATAGGTGGTGTTTAGACAGAGTAATTTGCAGATCTGGTCAGGGCTGAGGCTAGTTCTGTAGTCCAGGGTGTGGTCTTGTGATATCTGTTTCCTTACGGTTTCTACTGCTTCTATGGTGGGGATACAGGTGAACAAAGAAGTCACATCATAGGATACCATGGTTTCATCTGGGATAAGTTTCAGTCCTCGTTTTGGATGTGGTGTGGTGTGTTTCCCACCAAGGGAGCTAAGATGGTAGAAATGTCTTTGGCAAGTTGTAGGTGACCGAGTTAATGCTGCTAATGCTCCTGATAATCGGCCTGAGTGGGGCTCCTTCTTTGTGTATCTTGGCTAGTCCATATATGCATGGAATGGCTTCTCCAGGATACAAACTGTAATATTGTTCACGGGAGATGGTGTTGTCTTTCTGTAGCTGTTGTAGATATTCTATGGCCTTTTTCTTGTATCCGCTGGTTGGGTCTCGCCTCAGTGTCTCATATGTGTTTGTGTCCATTAGTAGTGTGTTGACTTTGTTCTGGTAATCTGCTGTGTTAAGGACTACCGTGCATCTTCCTTTGTCAGCAGGTAGAATAATGATGTTTTGATCCTTGCTCAATGATGTCACAGCCTTCCTTTCTTGGATGGTGAGGTTGGAAGGGGGAGCCTTCGCATTAGAAAGGGCTGCAGATACCTTTAGTCTGAGTTGTTCCGCTTCTGCTTCTGTTAATTTGTTTTTCCTAATGGCCGATTCTGTTGCTGTTATGGGGTCCACTATAGGTAGCTGCTGTGGTGCAAGTTTAATCCTTTGGCCAGAACGTCTTTCTCTGGTTGGGTGAGTTCCCTATCTTTCCACGGATCTTATCCAGGACATCCTCCATATGCAGCTCAAACACGGCATGACAATAAGTGGGTCTGACAGAGGCTTGTTTACAAAGCTTGCCCAGAAATAGAAGTATCCTTTTCCTTGCATCTGTGTTTTTATAGAGGTGGTGCTTTACCCCACCCTTGGTGAAACACTAGTAACAGAGTGTCCATAAATGACACTAAAAAGGTTTTTCTGTTTGTTTGGCTGTGAAGTGCTGTGAAAACCCCCCACTGATAATGCTGGGAAAGACCTGATTTTTATAAACTGCATCCACAAAATTCAAGAGCAGAATACATGAACTGACCTCAGAGTCTCCAGTCTACAGTTAGGACTCTCCAGTCCAATAGCCAGCAGCTTCACCCTGAATCCTTCAGGTTGTTGAAGCTCAGGTCCAGCTCTCTCAGATGTGATGGGTTGGACTTCAGAGCTGAGGCCACGACTTCACAGAGACTCTCTGTGATTCCACAGGCAGAAAGTCTGTGATGACAAGAATTTAAAACTAAAAGTATAAAAATCTAACACTGTATTGTAAAAATAGACAGCAATTTCATCACAAAGAAAAATAACACAAGCTGATGTAACTCAGCTCAGCTATTATTACGTTACTCCATCTGCTTTTTATCTCCCATGAAATTAATTTAATGACTCTTTTATGACACCTAATAATATAACTAATATTAAAGATATTTTTATTTACATTTTCTGGGGTAAAGTGGAGTTCAATTGTTAAACAATAAAATTTCTCTGAGCTTGGTGATGACACAAACTCTTAAGTCCCCAAGTTTCCCTGCTGGATTAAAATAGTTAGTTATTAATAGATAATTACTATAAAACATTTATAGTGTTCGAGTGTTACATTGTGCATGTGTGTAAAGTGTGTTTCTTTACTTGCTTTACGTTGCTTTACAGTTTTTGTAATTGCATCTGGACTTACTGAGCCTTTCTGCAGTTCCTCACAGCTGGAATCAGTCTCTGTCGTCCCTCCACTGATGTGTTGTACTTCTCCAGGTCCAACTCATCCAGAACCTCCTCTGACATCTGCAGCATGTAGGCCAGAGCTGAGCAGTGGACCACAGACAGTTTCGTCTCTGATCTGTTCCCCGACTTCAGGAACTCTTGGATATCCTGATGTACTGAGTGGTCGTTCATCTCCATCAGACAGTGGAAGATGTTGATGCTTCTGTCAGGAGAGGTTTTTGTGTTCATCTTTTTCAGGTTGTTGATGGCTCTCTGGATGATTTTTGTGCTGCTATCTGTCCGACCCAGCAGGCCTCCTAAGAGTCTCTGGTTTGACTCTAGAGAGAGGCCATGAAGGAAGCGAACAAACAGGTCCAGGTGGCCATTGTTACTTTCAAGGGATTTCATCATTGCTCCCATCAGGAAGACATCCAAGGTTGAATCAACATGTTGCTTTTCCAGGAAGTCCTCCAGTACCTCTGTTGCTGCTGGTGTAACAGTGGAACATGTAGACTGCAGCCAGAAACTCCTGAATGCTCAGATGAACAAAGCAGTAGACTGTTTTCTGGAAGATCACACTCTCTCTTTTGAAGATCTCTGTACAAATTCCTGAGTACACCGAAGCCTCTGCGACATCAAGACCACTGCTCCAGGTCTTCTTGGTAGAACATGATGTTTCCTTTCTCCAGTTGTTCAAACGCCAGCCTCCCCAGCTTCAGAAGAACTTTCCTGTCAGCCTCCATCAGCTCCTGTGGACTCGTCTCATGTCCCTCATCATACTTCTGCTTCTTCCTCTTTGTCTGAACCAGCAGGAAGTGTGAGTACATCAGTCAGGGTCTTGGGCAGCTCTCCTCTCTGGTCTGTAGTCAACATGTGCTCCAGAACTGTAGCAGTGATCCAGCAGAAGACTGGGATTAGACACATGATGTGGAGGCTCCTGGATGTCTTGATGTGTGAGATCATTCTGCTGGACAGCTCTTCATCACTGACTCTCCTCCTGAAGTACTCCTCCTTCTGAACATCAGTGAAGCCTCGTACTTCTGTTACCCTGTCAACACATGAAGGAGGGATCTGATTGGCTGCTGCAGGTCTGGAAGTTATCCAGACGAGAGCCGAGGGAAGCAGATTTCCCTTGATGAGGTTTGTCAACAGCACGTTGACTGATGACTTCTGTGTGACATCAGACACAACCTCATTGTTGTGAAAATCCAATGAAAGTCTGCTTTCATCCAGGCCGTCAAAGATGAACAACAGTTTCCAGACAGCGAGCTTCTCTGCTGTGACCTTCTGTAATGTTGGATGGAAAACATGGAGCAGCGTGAGAAGACTGTACTGCTCATCTTTGATCAAGTTCAGCTCCCTGAAGGAGAGCAGAACCAGCAGACTGACATCTTGGTTTTCCGAGCCCTCTGCCCAGTCCAGAGTGAACTTCTGCACCGAGAAGGTTTTTCCGACGCCAGCGACGCCGTTGGTCAGAACCACTCTGATGTGTCTCTGTTGGCCAGGTAAGGCTTTAAAGATGTTGTGGCACTTGATTGGAGTTTCATGGAGTGTCTTCTTCTTGGAAGCTGTCTCAAGCTGCCTCACCTCGTGTTGGGTATTAACCTCTTCACTCTGTCCCTCTGTGATGTAGAGCTCAGTGTAGATCCTGTTGAGGAGGGTTCCACTTCCTGTTTCATCACTTCCTTCAGTCACACATTCACATCTTCTCCTCTGACTTATCTTATGTTCTTCTAAAACCTCCTGCAGACCAGCACTCACTAAAACGAGAAAAAACGTTTGAGACAACAAAATAAAGAAAATTTACGTTTGATGATTGACAGAAAGTAGAGGAGAGAGGAGCTCAGTGCATCATAGGAAATCCCCCAGCAGTCTAGGCCTATAGCAGCATAACTAAGGGATGGTTCAGGACTCACCTGAGCCAGCCCTAACTAAAAGCTTTATCAAAGAGGAAAGTCTTAAGCCTACTCTTAAATGTCGAGATGGTGTCTGCCTCCTGAACCCAAACTGGAACCTGGTTCCACAGGATAGGAGCTTGATAGCTGAACGCTCTGGCTCCTAGTCTACTTTTGGAGACTCTAGGAACCACAAGTAACCCTGCATTCTGGGAGCGCAGTGCTCTGGTGGGGTAGTAAGGAACTATGAGCTCTTTAAGATAAGATGATGCCTGACCATTAAGAGCTTTGTAGCTAAGAAGAATGATTTTAAATTCTATTCTGGATTTTACTGGAAGTCAATGCAAAGAAGCTAAGACAGGAGAAATATGATCTCTTTTCCTGGTTCCTGTCAGAAAACGTGCTGCAGCATTCTGGATCAGCTGAAGAGTCTTAATGGACTTTTTCGAGCAGCCTGATAAAAAGGAATTGCAGTAATCCAGCCTAGAAGTAACAAATGCATGGACTAGTTTTTCTGCATCATTTTTAGACAGGATGTTCCTGATATTTGCAATATTGCGTAGGTGAAAAAAGGTGGTCATTGAAATTTGCTTAATGTGAGACTTAAACGACATGTCCTGATCAAAGATAACGACGAGATTCCTCACAGCGGTGCTGGAGGCCAGGGCGATGCCATCAAGGGAAACTATATCTTTAGATTATGCGTCACGGAAGTGCTTAGGCCCCATAACAATAACTTCAGTTTTATCTGAGTTTAACATTAGAAAATTACAGGTCATCCAGGTTTTAACACCCTGAAGGCACTTTTGAAGTTTAGCTAACTGATGAGTTTCATCTGGCTTGATCGATAGATATAACTGAGTATCATCTGCATAACAATGAAAGTTTATGTAATATTTCCTGATAATATTGCCTAAGGGAAGCATATATAAAGTGAAGAGGATTGGTCTGAGGACAGATCCTTGTGGAACTCCATGACTAACTTTGGCACGCATGGAGGACTCATCGTTAACATGTACAAACTGAAATCGATCTGATAAATAGGACTTAAACAAGCTTAGAGCGGTTCCTTTAATGCCAATGAAATGTTCCTGTCTCTGCAATAGGATCTGATGGTCAATGGTATCAAATGCAGCACTAAGATCTAATAAAACCAGTACAGAGACAAGTCCTTTGTCTGATGCAATAAGGAGTTCCTTAGTAATTTATCACCAGTTCTGTCTCTGTGCTATGATGAGCTCTAAATCCTGACTGAAAATCCTCAAATAAACTATTGCTCTGTAGAAAGTCACACAGCTATTTAGCAACTGCTTTCTCCAGAACCTTAGACAGAAATGGAAGGTTAGATATAGGTCTATAGTTGGCTAAAACATCCGGATCAAGTTTGGGCTTTTTCAGAAGAGGTTTAATTCCAGCTACTTTAAAGTACTGTAGTACATAGCCTGTTGATAGAGATAGATTGATCAGATCTAGTATAGAAGTGCTGACAAAGGGTAAAACATCTTTAAGCAACCTAGTCGGGCAGACTAGGTTGCCCGACTAGGTTTGGGGATTGGGGGCTTTGGGGATTTAGGATTGGGAATTGGGGATTTAGGATGGGATTTGAGGATTGAGTTATGTATGCAAATGAGGAGGCGTGCCCCAAAGGCTGCAGGGGGTTTGGAAGGGCTGAGGCGCAGAGGCACTTTATGGACTGCAGGGGGAGCTTTGACAGCCAGCACACTGCCATGAAAGCAAGCAGAGGAAGTGAGCAGGTTTGGAGGGAGGACTATCATTTATAATACCATAACTAAAAGTGTGCAGCATTTCTGTCCATGTGACCTCACACACAAAGTCAACAGTGAAAGGAATGCTATCCATCTGATGAGAAAGCAGCGGACAGTACAGCAGGTAAGATATGATAACATTACCAAGTTAGTCTATGAAGATTCTCAGTCATCCAGGTCATAGTTATCCAACAAAGGTTAAATGATAAAATAATTATATATAATGATAAATGAAATGTTGGATAATTACCAAGTTAGCTATATTAGGCTAACTGTTGCTGACATGCATGAGTTACGTTACTGTTGCAGGTTTTAAATGGGCTATTAACCTCATTGTGGGCTGTGTGTATAAACTGTAAAGATAAGGTGTAGAAGCTGTGTTATGGGTAATAGCACCATGCTGGGTAGGTGACAGGTGGTGTTTACAGTGTTGTGTGCTATGAAAAACATAACAGCGCAGCCATAAAGTCTTAGCCGGCAGACCTTGTATGGTTATTACTACTCACATATGGTTGTAACGTTTAAGCCTGATAGACATCCGCTAATCAGAAACAGAGGACACTACCTGCATCACTGCCGATATCATTTGACCAGGAGTGAATGGTGATTAATGCGATTGTCATGGCCACATGGACAGAAATGCTGTACACTTTTAGTTATTTGTGTTGTGTCGTTCAATGAACATTGAGGGCGCCTCAGCCCTTCCAAACCCTCTCTGCAGCCTTTGGGTCACGCCTCCTCATTTGCATACACAACTCAATCCTCAATCTCCAAATCCCCATTCCTAAATCCCCAAATCCAATCCTAAATCCCCAAATCCCCAATCCCCAAATCCCAATCCTAAATGTATAGATGACTAAATCCCCATCCTAAATACAAAATGCCTTCTCCTAAATACCAAATCCCCAATCCTAAATGGCTAAATGATCAATGTACTAAATACCAAATTCATTTTCGACTTTTAGTTTTGATTTCGACTTTTAGTTTGGATTTCGACTTTTTGTTTAGACTTTTAGTTTTAGTTCTGACCAAATAATCCCTCCATAACACACAAAGTCCCATTTGCTACAAAACCAACTATGGTGGGGTGAACAGAGAGAGAATTCCAAAAACAGAGCTTTGGATTTGTTCAACCTACCCAAGTTGTCCCACACTACACCGCTCCTCCTGTGTAGCGTGCACCCCCGCACTGCTTCCTGTGACTTGAATCCGATTCAAGACACGGGACTTGCCTATCATGCTGCCAATGCTCCGGCTCATCTACATCCAGGACATGGTGCAACCAAACACCCCAGCCTGTCTGCTGCCTATCAGCTTGCTACTCACTCACTACGAGCCATGGGGGGGCCCATCTACCGCTCAACAAAATCCCAACTGTTTGCTGTCTGGATCCAGAATAGTGGACTAAGCTCCCGACTGACATCAGGACACCAGAAAGTGTACATCCTTAATCCGTGTATGGTTCGTTCTTTAATTATTAATTTCAAAACCAAATCGGAAATCGGAAA